CGGTTGGACTAATGCACAATGGTCGGAATTAACAGATTTCTATCTATTTTTTTTAGGTAGCGGTTGCGGTGCACGCGGAATAACACGTCATTAGGCAGAGCGGCGGTGAATTGGGAAAGCACGATAGCTTCGCTGCTGTTTCTAGCCAATTCGTAAATGTAAAAAAAAAATGTTAAAACCCGTGCCGCCGATAATGTAACAATGGACGAAATCGAGACGAAACGGTCGAGTCCCGAGGCGCAGCTCGAAAACAACGACCAACTACAGAGCTACGACCCTCCAGTCGCGAAACGACCAATATATCTGTACATTTGTATTAATGTGAAAATTAATTCTTTGTCACGCACACATTTGTTCTCTGAAACTGCTCATCAAACGATTATTTTATCAATTTTTTTTTTTTTTTTGTATATGAAAGACTACATCGCGGTGCATTTTTTTGGCATTATTTTAATTACACGTATAAGTCAATTCATTAATTATGTATTTTATAACACCCCTACGGCGCTGAGCGGCAACATAAAATACATTCGTCTAACTGTCGATTAGACCAATGCTTTTCAAACTGGGAGCGCGGCCATAGCTATATTTCTGAAAGGCCATGAAATATTTATTTTATTTAAACTATTTTCTTTAGGCCTTAATTTATTTTTATTTATATGTATATAAAATTTAATACATACCGTAAAGATTTTTTTTTTCAGAACTACATTTAAAACATTAATTTAATATACATATTAATAGTTGAGCTGTGTAAAATATTACATGTAATTTTAATATATAATTATGAAAAAATAAGTAATGATTTTTATTAAGGGCGCCTTGACAGTTTCAAATTAAATTTAGAGAGCTCCGTGACAAAAAAGTTTGAGATGCACTAGATTAGATCACCGATTGGAAGCCAATTAAAAAACTAAGAAGCTAAACAATTTTTAACCATGCCAGCAAGAGAAACTTGCTGCCAGTCTTAAGCCTGGTTTATAATGAGAAGGAACACGACGATTATAATTATAGTAACCTATAGTAACCTAACCTAACACAAAGATAAGCTTTTTTTTCACAGACGGGTAATTGAGCTAGTATATATGTGTACATATGTGTGCAAATTAAAGCCTGTCAATGTGAAATCAATTTTTCAAAGGTAACTTCAGACAATGTTTTAAAGTTAAAACGTTGCATTCGTAAATTATATATTTACATGGTTTAAAAATAAAACATTTATTTTGCAATTTCAGTAAAAATGTATTTGTCCATACATTTTTAGTAAAATAAAATAATAAAATGAAAAACTAATTTCATTTCACAACGATTTGTTTGCGAATAAATTGCATTAGTCGAAAGTTATTACAATTTATCGGTGTATTAAATATAAAAACAGCTCTTCTAAATACAAGCTACTACAACTGTACAACTGTCATTGCGCAATTTATTGAAAATAATGTAATACGTACAACGAAATTAAGTTCATAAATTGTTGTTAATATTAAGTACGTTAATACCTGAAATATTTCACTAAATTTAATTTAAATAAATATAAATATTTTTTATCTAATAACATTAATGAAATCGTATAGATTATTATAGGGCATAGTAATAGTTAATATTAACTTAAACCGTTACCGTAGTGCGCTTCTGTTTTTTTTTTTTTTCATTACACATATAAAATTGTTAGAATATTAAAATTCTAAATACTTCACTTTTAATATATTTTTTTAATAAAGCAACAAGGTAAGGAATATTTTCAACCCTTCGCTTTGTCCTTATTTACCGAACACTTTTGCTCAATATCCTAGATATACCATTCCTGAAAAATAAATTTCGATCTTGCTTATTCCTAATAATTAAAAATATGCTAGTTTGAGAATTATTAGAATCACTGTGATTGGTAGAAATTGTATCGAACCCCCTTAATATTGAATACATTTTTTCTAAAATATAATGTATATAACACGACTACGTGGTGTTCTCGAGAGTACAATTGAGTCTCCTTAACGTTTTGTCCTTTACAGCGATGTATTATTATTTGTTTATGTTTAAGGCGTACCTAAATATTATCATCAATCATATTATTATGTGTTATTGCGGTCGCGATTTTACCACGATCCACCTCGTCAAATAAAGCGTAAACGCGTCATTAAAAACATCGAAAATATCGAACACACTCAAGGATAATGTATTATTACGTAGTTGCATTATATGTGACATACGAATAGGTCAACAATTTACCAACAGATACAGTGAATCACATAATAATATTGTAGTACTATATTATCTAATATATTGCAATGTTTATAATCTTACATATTATATTCACAATGAATAGGTATTTAGTATCACGGCGATGAACTATTAACCAAGTTCTGATTTCATACAATATGTCGTTTAATCATAATCATTTAAGCGAATAATTATTATTATTATTAATTACAATAAATATTGTAATTATTTGTTAATCACGTGCCACACGAATAAGATGTATTTTTCGAACGTTGTGCACCTATGCGTGCTGTTTTAATAGACGTACAGAAAGAAAAACGTTTAATTTATTACCCTTCTTCTGATGTAGAAATATAGAACATTTGTCTTTAAACATTTATAAAATATATATTTTATATATTTATTTATATGCATATACAACCTAAATCTAGTATAAGCACACCTACTGTAACACCGTTAATAATTGATAAAATTGTTATACGAACCACAGTTTTTTCAAATTTATTTAAGTAGCATGAAAATATATTTACCGCATATTATAGTGCGATATACGATTTTACACAATTAGAAGAAACTCATCTTACACTAACAAATGTCAATAAAATTAATTCAAACAAGGATAGCGCTGAACACGGGAGGACTGAAGGGAGGAAGTGTTTTCGGGGGTTCAACACTAACATACGAAAATTTCATAAAATTTAAATCATGTACAAAGTACCTATTTTTGTATGAATATTTAAACTTAACTATATATATCATACAAATATTTTAATCGTACTAACATTATACACATATTATTTTACGTTAAGCGATACATAAAAAAATACTAAAGAAATTTTAAAATATTTATATTTTCGATCCTTTTTGCTTCAACTCAAAAATAGATTAAAAAGCATATTTTAAATAAGAACTTTGAAAAAAATAATATTTGCATAGAATAAATTGGTTATATAATTACATTTACAATAGTATACAATTATGAATTAATAACTGAATGAAGAATAGTTTAAGGGGATTAGAAGCGGCGATTTTATTTCTCTGTCTAACACACGTGCATCATAGCAATTTAGATGTTTTCTAGTTCCAACGTACCGATCGATCTATTGATGCGATAAAGAATCTAAAAACAGATTTGCATTCGTCGTCAAGTCTACTTTAGATCGACTTTCCCACATTTTAGAAATGTTGTGCTAAGAATATCGAAAAATTAATTTTTGATGATTTTTAGGTTTCTAATTTGCTCAAAGCTAATTTATGAGGTTTTGGAGAAAAAAATCAAAAAAGTGGAAAAGTCGATCTAAAGTAGACTTGACGACGAATGCAAATCTGTTTTTAGATTCCTTATCGCATCAATAGATCGATCGGTACGTTGGAACTAGAAAACGTCTAAATTGCTATGCTGCACATGTGTTAGACAGAGAAAAAAAAATCAACGCTTCCAATCCCCTTAATACAACTATTGCCCACTAAAATATTTGTGACAAAGATAAAATAATTATATTTTATTTATAAATATATAATACATTTTAAAATGGAGGAAACCGTTGAAAAAACTCACCCCTTAGAAAATACAAGAAAAGAAAAAAATAATTCAAGCATAATTCATGAGATGTTTATTTTAATAACTATTTACTATGATTTTACTCAATTAATTGATACTCTAAATGAGCACACAGTAATAATATTCAGAATTATTGAATTGAATACACGAAAACCGTGTTATAATTTACAAACATCTACGGATTTTCATATATAATTGAATGCAGCATATACGAGGGCCGTCAACTTGCCAACGAATACATTTTATCAATTAAGTTTAACCAAAGGGTAACCACGTTAATATGATAATTAATATATTGTTAACGGTAGCAATATTAAAGTTGTTGAAATAAAATAAAAGCATCGTTTTTGCCGAATCACCAATTTCTTAATTTCTCTGTATAGCTGTTTATCACGGTGGTTACGAAAAATAGTTAATATACAGAAAGTTGTGTTTTAAATTTTTTTTTTCTCGGACTACACGCTCGCACGACAAATGAATAGAATCGTAAACTGGTCAAATTGCACGAATCCAACGGGTCATTTTTATACATCTTCCACGGGCGCAGTATTATTAGTAAAGATTGATTAATAAAACAGACAATGCCATCAACTGGGTATCGCGTTTGCATATAAGTCATATAAAGTCTAACCGCTGGCTAACAAATCCGTTACGTCGACTCGACTCGACCGGACATCGAGTAACGCGTGTATAATACACACATTGGTGGCGCCAGGGACGGACCAGGTAGGGTCATGGCCCTACTTGAAAATAACTGGCCCTACCACTGACTTAACCTTAGACATAATAATATAGTCATTTTTCATATGCAGAAAATATTAAATAATGGTATTTATCTTTTGTTGAAATCTCATTTTTGGTGGCCCTATCTTATAATTGTTGGCCTCCCGTTGGCTCTACTTAGCAAAAAATCCTAGCGCCGCTACTGAATACACATATAAGCCGTTATAATTGAACTTGTAGGTACATTAATATAAGCAGTCTGCACGGCTGACTGGTTATAATAACTACACTGATTCGCCAACAGTCTGTCGACAAATATTTTCGTTTCGTGCTGACCGACTTTTTGTCACAAAACTACGTGTCGATCAACACAGACCAATGTGTGATGCACCGGATTAATACGTTTTATCACTACATTAATACTACAAGACTGCAACTGATATTACGATAGTAGTGTTGATGACGATGACGATGATGATTATAATAATGTGCTACTTACGTGAAACGATCATTTGATTCGGACCTACACCGTTCAAACTCCGTTTTCTGGGCCTCGCGATTGTGGACGACAAGGGCTCGTCGATCGGGTGAATCGGATATTTTTCCCGTGGATCTCTTGACGGGAAAAATATGACGGCGAGAAGAGTTGGAGCCGAGGAAACGCTGCGAGTGAAACACAACCGACGTCTTGCGTGGTACTTTGCCCACGTGTGAGAGAGAATTATTATGTTGCTCACAGCAGCGTGTTATGAGGGGATTCGAAAAAAAAAAAATTAAAAAATTAAATAAAAAGTCCGTTACACCGCTGACCGTGTGCTACCCCCGAGGATGTGTTACACTAGAACAGCCGCACGCGACTTCCAAACGTTCTGTGGGTATTCTCTCCGTTAAGCGGCCCGGAACAGGACTCGCGAACCACCCCCACCAGGTCGCTGAAGCCGCCGCCGCCACCACGCCACCACCGCCGCCAAACGCATGTGGTCTTGCCGACAACCCTTTTCCGCCGGGTTTTACTCCACACAACACTACACCGCAAATGTATGTGCCAAACATGTAATAATATTATATTACTATCATTTTTCACCCGAACGAATACACGAGTATTTCGTGAAAAACACTGTTCTCCCGTCGCCACCGACCGATACTCGCGAAAATCGATCGGTTTCCGATAAACACATAGAACGGACATCCTAAATAATTTACGAGCATAGAATTTTGAGTGTTTCTTTTCCTTTTTATCACGCCGACTTTTGTAGAGGTTTATTTTCGAACAGACCACGGATTAGCGACTGAAACGAGAAAATCACGGTTGATGTAATCTGTTTTAATAAACATTCAAACACCAAAAGAAAGAAAGATTAGAAAGATCTTTCCCTTGTTCTTTTTTTTTAAATCCGTTTTTTACTTCATTTACTTCAAATAAGATTGAAAATATTAATATGTAAATAAAGAAATAGTTTTTATATTAATTTACGAGTGTTAACTATTTAATAATTTTGAATTTTTATTATTATTTTTTATTATTGAAAATATCGTATATTTATATTAATATAAATAATATGTAGCAATTATTAAAAATTGATAATATTTACTACCCATTTTATTTCAAGAGAAGGGAAGAAAAAAAATCTGCCTCTCAAAGAAATCCTAAATATGCCACTGCAGAGGACACATTACGAGGAATGAACCAACGAAGGTTAAATACATCGAAGGAAAATGAATGTGAGAAGTGAATGAGAAATACTTTGACTGAAGAATCTCCACGACTGGTGACAAAAGTATCAAAATATATATTTGGGACATCATTCGATAAGTAAAACATTGCAATTATAAAATTCGACATCCAAAATGGTTAGAAAATCTTAAAAAAATAACAAAATACAACAAATACCTAAAGACGAAAAATTTGATTTAGTTAACATTACCTATCTAATATCTTTTACATGGACAAAAACTACCGATTGTAGAGAGTCTGTGTGCATACAAATTTCGCTGCACATGAATTGCGTCCCACAGATATTTAACGACTTCACGAATTACGTCTCAACGTAAAAACATTAATTTCCTTCCCATTACATACAGATTTAAGACTGTCGATAGCCAATTATGACTATCGATAAGTTAAAAATATTGATTTTTATCATTATTATGCAATCATATGTAAGTAAAATGAAATGTGTAGGTTTAAATTATGGGAATGTAATATAATAATTAAAATAAACAGTAATAAAAAAAGTTATAATTATAAAATTAAAAAACTAGTAAAAACTTGAATGAATTCTTAATACAATCAAAACGGGTCAATTGACCACTTTCATATTTTTTGTCATATTTCGTCTTAAATAATCTTCTTTTTCACATATCATCATCCGTCTGTTTTAATTACATGAATACTTCGTTGTTTAATATAAGTTACTTTTTGTACATTTTTTAAAACATCTATAAATTGGAATATATTCGGGTGTTCTGAGTAAAACATACTGTTAAGCTTGGAGTGAAAGGCTTCACAACTATCCGTAGTTCGAATTATAGAGCATGAATACATTCCCCACACAGAAGACGGGAAGTCACAATCAGGCTTTATGTATGAATTTAATATATAATCAGAAAATTACTGTACTTTTTCATCTTCGGGTAAAATTGATACAATATCATCCGTAAAACAATCCTCCAATTCATCTGATTTTAAAAATGGGAGACCGAAAAAATACTTTAAGAAAATACTGATATCTGATATTTTTTTGTATTTTTGACTTAAACCAACCGTTTAAATTTTCCTCCACCAATTTTGACCTAAATGAAACCTGCATCCTTTCATTTGAATTAACGGCCAAACTAAAATTATTATATGCTTAAAAACACGTTCATCGTACATGTAATCGTTTAAACAAACTCGGACGCAATTCATGTAGTACATTAGATAAGGTCAGACGCAATTCGTGTACTCGCTTATCAATTTTTTTTATTTCGGGACGCAATTCGTGTGTAGCCAAAAATGTAAATAAACATTTTCATACAACTTAAAAGCCCTCCGGTGAACCCCTTATCCCCTTAAATACACGGTATATTTAACTATTATTGAAATGTGTATGCAAACTGGTATAATATTAGTATTAACAATTTTGTAGTATGGAGCGGACTGGTCCCGATTCGGATCAGCTGTGAATTGTTACCGCTATTAAGCGACTATATAATATAATATCTATACGACGTACATATTCCAGGTGTGTGTTTTATAGTAGAAGCAGTAGTAAGAATAATATATAAAAAAAAATAAATAAAATAATAATATACACATTCGACTGGTGAATTTCAAAGTGGAAAAAATAATAAATATCACCTGGCGCCCACCGTTACGCAGCATTGATGTTTAGTCGACCAGTACGAAACCCTAATTACACGTCAGACAATTGCTTTATATTTTCCAATTTAACCTGTAAGGGTTTGTCCCTAAAACAAATTCATCCCTTGCTATTGTACATGTACCTACAGTGTACACCCTAGACACGTTAAGTCCCGTAATCTTCAAAATAATTACCTTTCATGCTACACGTTAAACTTTCGATTAGGTATGTAAAATGGCGATCGAACAAATACATTACAAAATTGTATAATAACCAATGCGAATAGGCGTTAAATAAACTACTGTAGGTACGTTTGTTATGTGGGGTATTTTTTTAATGTCTATTCAATGTTGTGTATTTTATTTTTATCATTATCTTTAATTACAATTTTTTTTATGGTAACATATATTTTTAATATTTTATAATCTGTAGGTGAACATTTTTCTGTAAATTTCGATGAATAAATAGTTTAATGTCAAACAGAAAATCGATGATTTGTAAATTATAATTGATCATTTTTTATATAAATCAACTCCGTACGTATATATTTCGCAGGATACTCTCCAATCATCAGACCTTAAAATACTTTTAAACATTTAACTGTTAATTCGATATTCAAATTGTATTCATCAATATTTCGAAAAAAAACAACTATTCATCTACATATTACATCAAAATTTATATTGTTATTTGAAAAAATAAACATTTTTATATTTATATTATATTTTTATGATTTAATACTACATAAGTCTGATAGCTAAATTTAACTAAAAAAAAAACATTTTTGAACAGAATAGAAAAACTCCCAAGATTAACTTAATAAGTTGTTTACAATATAAAGAACTAAAAAAGAAAACTAATATTAAACAAAAATCTTTTGCGTAAAAACGTAGGTAAATAATTTATTAACTATTTGCAATATTTTGTGTACAATTTGAAATAAAATACTCACGAATTATATTAATTACACAGATATTTATTTTTCAAGTATTGCGTGGTCTTATTAACATTATAGGTTTATAATAAATTTAACTCAAAAGCTTCTCTTATTACCTTATGTATTATATAAAAATTGATACATTACATCCACAATATAAATTCTATGTGTATGTTATCACAACACCCATTGATAATATTTAAATACCCATTTGTATCCATGAAATAATTTCAATGAAAACAACATGATTATTATGAATATTGCTGAGAATAAAATATGTATCTAAGCTTCACATACAATTAATTCACGTTTAAAATAATTCTGCAATAGAATACTTACACTAAGTAAAGTGCATAATAATTAACTATAAAAATAGTTAATCGTAATAAACAGTAACAATACAATGTTAAAATTTAATAATTCATGTCAAAAATACGTAGTGTGGTTACCACTCTTATAACGTTGCAAGTCTTGCTCATGCGTGAAGATTCAACTCTCTAAGCAGTGAACAGGACGCAGGTGGTGGTCCAGCCTGCCAGAAATTCAAGTTTGCATGTACAGTTTCCGGTAACTTCGTTCCGCATGCGACAGCCGGTTGCGTCTCATTTGTATGAATACGATTACTGAAACGGCCGAGTAATGTTCTTTGTAAAGGTTAATTCATAACCGTTTAATGGTTTAATGTAATATACATGGTATCCCGTTCAACTGTTGGGCCTCGTTGGAGTGATGAATAAATTGTAATCCTCGGACGGAGTATCGAAAGGAGTATGAAAAGCGCATAAATTAAAAAATTAAAAATCATAATAATCGTTATTGATATATTTAACATATTTTAAATTGTTTAATAAGTATATATAATTATTTTTACGTGTTTTTATGCAGCATCTAATTTCAAATACAATATAACAATTTTTTGAAAATAACATTTATATTTAAATAATTAAAATATTAATTTGTCCAGTTGTTAATCAACAAAAACAAAAACTATTTTAAATAATCCATAATTATTATTATTAATATACTCTATTATATAACTATATAGGTAATCGAAATTCGTAAGCCCTATGTGATTTTTATATTAGTTATAAAGTTAGATTATAATATAAATAAAAAAATTAAAACAATTATTACATGGAGAATTTTTAATTCATAATAACTACCAACTAATAATTAGTTGGTTTTCTATTTCATTATATTATCAATATATTTGTAATATATATAATCAATTTATTTATATTATCATCAAACTAATTTTGACTCTATCAACTGCAATATGCAATTATGGCCGATTTTCCAGGACAATAAGTCTAAATTTATGTTAATCCGTACTCTAGTGATTTAATAGTTATAATCTTAAAACATTAACATTATTAATATGTTTAAATGCGTGAGGCTGCTGAATCATATCACCCGAGGTATGTGATCAAAAAATAATTCAAAGCAATGAATACAATATTTTATTCATTATTTCAGGTTTTCAAATTTAACGTAGGTAAATTAAGTATGCTCAGTTTTTAGCATTTTCGATTTATAAGAAATTTACACTGTGATTGAAAAAGAATTAGACATATAATAATTCACCTATCTACACGGCGAATTTCTCCTCGATATCACCATGTATGTGGTTTGTCTTTGCTCGTCTAAAAATTGGAAATCTAATCCCTGGATTCTGTTAGCAGAATTACAACGATCACAGACAAAAACCAAAAAAGGGTTATGTTAATGAATATATGTGTATCCATAGATGGACTGTTTAAAAATAATTTCGACCAAAAAATAGTGATTTAAATATCATCAATATCAAAAAAATTGTAGGTATTTGAAGTGATTCAAATTGGGAAAAACCTCGTAAACTATAGATTTGTTCCACGGTGTATCGTGGCATTTTAAATGCGATTCTAAATTAAGTCAGGAGAATAATAAACATACGTAATGAATATTGCGTCTAATTGTGAATATAGCTAGATTTTTCACAAATTAAAATAATTTTATGATTTATACAAATATTAATTTATGAAATGTTTAAATTAAAAATGTTCACAGCACTCATTAAGTGTAACATGTTTTTTTTTTATGAATACAATAAATTATAATTAAATTAAACTAAATTGACAACAGATTTAATTAAAAAGTCAATTTTTCTCATAATAATAGCTACTGCACTTAAATATATCGTAATTTAATGAATACAATAAAGTGGCATCATACCAAAAAAAAACGATTGCATATTAATAAATAACATAAATATGAATAAATAAAATTGTATATTATACTATTTAAAATTAATATATAAAAATGAATAAATAAATATAATAAAAGCGAAATTATACTTAAGTATAATATGGAATCAAATCATACATATTAAAGTGCATTCCGTTTGTTGACTAGTTGACTATTTATTATATTATGTTAACATTAAAATAAGAATTTTAAAATTTTTTTTTTCGAATTAAGGATATTTTAATTAAAACAATAATCAAGATTGGAAAAAAATCGTTAGTAATAAACAAGATCACATGCTAATGTGAAAACATGTAAGTACTGAGTAGTATTGTTCTACTCGGTTATACTATTCTTCATACATAAATCATAACATTATACTAATTATATTATTTAAGGATTATATATAATCATCGATTCTGTATTAAATATATAATTATAGACAAAATATAAATTTAATTAATTCTTATAGATTAAAATATACATTAACATTTGATAATATATATGTTTAGTATCAATTATACACCTAATGAGGCTACAAGACTACGATAAAATTGATTTTATCGTTATTATTTATTATTATTAGTAGTAATTACCTATTTTTTCCGTTATGTGTTTAAAAATTAATTATGATCATAATTTGAAAAGCAAAAATTATTATCCCTTTCATTTTTTTCAGAACCTAAAATGTAACGGGAATTAAAACGAACAGTATTTCTTCAAACGTAATCAGTGATTGCTAATCACCAAAAAATAACCTAAATTCTAAAAATGAAATAAAAAAAAAAAATACATAAAACAATCTACAATTGATTTTTATTGCTATTTTTTTATTATAAGTACGACAAATTAAAATGAATAATTATCATTTTGGAGTAGTGGCTTTATACTATTGTTAAATACATTTTAAATGTTTAAATAATTTATTAATTAGGTGCATCTTCTTCTCAACTGGTATTAGAGTAATTCTCGTATATTGAGGTAGTAGTGCCTTTGGAATGGACTCAAAGAAGCTATCAGCCAAGTTTTAAATATGGAGTTTGACATTTTCCAGATCTATGTTTATGGTTTGATTTTTACAAACTATAGAACATTTACTAATATCCCTAAGATTTTGTTTTAGAATATTTTCAATTTTCTTATATGTATTAGTACACGTTTGCTTCAAATAAAACAAGCATATGTAAATAAGTAATGAGTAATAATAAGTAAGTAATGGGCGCAGTGTTTGCTTATAATTGTTTTTACTAAAACATCTTAACTTAGATGATTGTATTCAACGCTGTATGTGAAATTATTTTATACAAGTCGATGCGATAATATTTAAAATTAATAAATAAATAAATAAACAACCAGTATATTTACAGAAATAAATAAATACTTAGTCTGGAGTATTATTATAATTGTAAAATACGTCGGGTTAGGTATTAAAAATTCATCGTCAGGTATACAAAGAATGTGAGAAAGTCGATCTAAAAATGACTTTACGATGAATTCAAATCAGTTTTCAAAATTCTTATCCGCTATATAGCCGATCAATCAGTACGTTGGAAATAGAAAATGTCTAAAACCCTATATTACGCTTGTAATAGAAATAGAAAGAAAATCATGGCTTGCAATCCCCTTAATTTGAAACCAGTAGTACATTACAAATATAATAAAACTCCGGGACAAACATTTGTTTATTTATTTATTTACTTTCATAAATTTATTATTAGTTTCTTCTTTGCGTTTTCAGTCGTTTGACTGGTTTGCTGCAGTTCTCCATGCTTCCCTATTGTAACTTAATTCCTCTAGTTCCTTGTAGCTATCCTTTCCCATGTCAATCATGATTCCATCATATATTCTATCCTTGGCCTTCCTCTTCCAATATATATAGCCTTCTACATCACCTTCTATGACATTCTTCGTTAAACTATCATGGTGTAGTATGTGCCTATCATTTTGTCTCTTCTAATCTTAATACTATGCTACAATTGTCGTTTTTCTTTTATTATTAGTTTATTTATTTATAAATTAATTTACGAGTGTTAACCATTTTACAATTTTTTACTTTTATTTTATTTTATATTATTTTATATCGAATTTCCGCCTAACCAGGAAAAAATAGGCCAAAGATGTTGTAAGACGCAAATATACAAAGACAATAATAAACTATCATTTATGTTAATTGATAAGAATCATATGTTAATTTCAATATCAGTAATGAATTCTTTTTTTTTTTTTTAGCACTCAACATTGAACGGTTGTTCACTAAACTCAAAATTCTTATTATTGTCTACTTCTAAAAATTGTTCATCAACTCTGCTCAAAATGAGTTTGGTATCAAATTTAATTGGCAGACGGTATATTTCCCAGGCAGTGAAATAGTGAGTACTTGAGACGTAGTTAATGTGTCAGTCTAAATAATTTACATTAATTTATTTAATCTTCAAAGGTCAAACCCTTATTTTATCCATATAATTTTCTTCTTATTTACCTATGTTATGTCGCTCACTAACTAATTATTTCAATTGTTTTCAGTATTCCTAGTGCCGGTCTTTACAGTGCCACAGGATTCACCCTCCTCTGTTACTTCACAGATTGGAAAACGGTCTTGCAGTACTTGCCATACTACAACACTAAGTTCCCCAAAGAAGTAGAAGAATAATCAACTTTAACAATAAATAAACCATAATGTAAAACAAAATAGAGTTCTTAATTTTTGTCAAAAAGAAAGTACTTTTGAATTTTGATTAATGTATAGATGGTCATGATTTTTTTCTTAATATAAATTATGTACAATTGTTTTTAAGAGCTATTAATTAAAATACAAGTTATTAATAGTCTATTTTTATTAATGTTTATTTTATAACCAACAATACGCATTTCACAATATTTTTGCCTAGATAAGAGAAGCTATAAAAAAAAATGAATAAACTTTTCCAACCCTTTAGAATTTTTTTATGAGATTGGATTAAAGAATGATAGAAATTTTGCATTGTGTACATTGTACATTTGTTTTTGGTAATTACAAACCATCATTTGGGATAAATAACAAAAATAGTTTCTTGTACCTACATAGGTACTAGTTAACTTATGTTTCTATCAAAAGTACTATTGATTATAATTATAAATTTATTAAATGTTAAGCTTGGACATTCTACATTTTAAACTAATTTAAATTATAGGCAGTTAAACAATTAATTTTTTTTTATCTTTTAATTTTTGTATACTATCAAATTTATTATTCATTATTTATTTTAAAATAAAAACCCCTTCCTTAATTTTAATTATTTCAAAAAATTCCAATAATGAAAATTTATAAAATATTATATTTTTAAATAATTATCATCAATAATCGAGCATTTAAGTTTATTTTTACATTTATGTAGAATCATGATACGTGATTATATTTATACTGAATAAGATATTCATCATATGACACATGTTACGAGCAGCTGAGCAAAATTAGTTAAATCTACTGGAAGTTTATTATAAGTACTAGGACATTATTGTATATTTTTTCAAAATTTAATTTTTATCAGACTGACAGGAGGTGTAAAGATAAACTATGAGAGAAAAAAGTTGTTGATTATTGAAATATCAAATACATAGTCATAAAAAAAGTAGCATAATATTAAATGCTCTTTATAATTGAATAACTGTATTTGAAGTGTATGTGTAGAACCACTCTTATACCAATTAACCATGATGATTGGCAAGTATTCACAAGTGATGAATAATTGACCATTAAAGTATAACAGATTAACAACCTGGCATCATAAAGGGAATGTTCTGTTTGACAAAATGATAGTTACGACATTTACAGCGTGATTTGATGAGAAAGTGAAATTCTTAAAACAGACATTTGAAATTATTCAACAAACAAAACTAATGTCGAACATTTTAATATTTGTAAAACATCCAATATATTAACCCCAGATTAAAATTTCTTTCCAAAGCACTACTTACTATCAATAGCGATGCAAAATTTATTTTCCAATGAAGCTGTATATCAAGTACCCAACCAAGTTCAAAGTTGTAGATCCAGAGTTCAATTGTTCTTGCAGCTACATAGAAATTAAAATTAACAAATCCAAATAAAATTATTTATGATAATATTTTATGTCAAATATGCAAATTATATGTTAAGCTTTTCTGTCACACAACACTGCCTACCCATACATCCTATTTTAGTTACTGCTTACAATTACTGGTTTGACTAAGTCAGCAGTTCCCTAACTTTTTTAGGTCACGCATCTTTAAAAAAAAAATCTCGAATCCCAATAAAACATTTTTTATTATTTTAATATAAGCAAAATATTATCAATTGAATAATAAATATATGGCAATGCAATATACTATATAAGTATAAATATTTGCGGAGTGCCTCACAGTCGGGAATCGCTAGACTAAGCCATGACAGGAAACTACCATATCTTCTGTGACATAGCATATTCAAGTTATTGTTTAAAAATTCTTCCTAATATATGAAAAAACTACGCTTCTGGGCTAAAATAAAATAAGCATCTATAAAAAATAAAATTTTCACTGTATACTATTAAAAAAATAGCTCGTATTAACATAACTTGCTTCACTGTAAATCTTTCAATTTCTAATTTAGCTTTTAATCTGTCAATAAAGCATTAAATTGTCAAAAATATTGTTAATCGACCAAATTCCTTAACATTTAATAGTGTTGTAATTGTAAAAGGTCTTAAGAAACAAGTTTTTACAAACCATAACTATAATAAAATAAACCTTTCAACACTCTTTAGTTATCTAATCTATATACTGTTGATTTTATATTAAAATGTAATATAAAATCAAAACTTTAAAACAACACAATTATTTAACGATTACTAACATAGGCACACAGCTTATTACTTAATAAACTAAATTAATATGTGTTAAACTTGAAACTTTAGAATACCTTTAAAATTTATAAATTCAAAAATAATTACTTTAACAAAGAATTACAAGATTAGAAAAATCTGCAACCCATTTTAATGAAAGGCAAATGGATTATTTTTTTATTGAAAATATTTGTAAAATAAAAAAACACAGTATTCTTATGACAAGAACTTATTAAACATCCAATTTGATAGAATGAATAATCAAAAAACTTAACATTTAAATTTCATAAATTAATGGGAAATTTAAACTACTACTACTATTGTGTGAATAAAATTAAACAAAATAATTTACCAAAAATATATTTTATTTAAATAATTTTCTTGTGAATAGTGGTAATAATTATTAAGTACCTATTTCACAAAGTCTGACATAAAAATATGAACATAGGGTACATCACAAAATCATCATTTACGATAATGATATCAAATTCAAATGTAATATTTGATGAATATTTAAATAATTTTTAATAAAAACATTTAATTTTGTTAAGATATCAAATTACAATTTTAGAAATATCTAACTTATCCATAGTTTGTTTATCAATATTTTTGTTAACTAAAATAATACACTATTATTACTTAAAGAAAATTATTTAAAAAATGAAGTAAAAATAACTAATTATATTAAAAATATTAAAATGTTATATGGACTTTTTTTTATCATTATACCACATATCAAAATATAATGCATTCAATAATACACAAAATTGAATTATATTTATTTTATAAATTCAAATGAATTGATTTATTTATAGTACAATGAATATTTTATCAAATAGCTTAAAAAATTAAATAGCCACATCGTTAACTTCATGAGCCATATAATATTAACAAAATTAAAATGAATAACATTTGATTAAACTAAGTTCCTGAATAAAAAATAGATAAAATAAATGAAAATGAAAAAAATTGATTTTAGCACAAAAATCACGTTGTAGATGATGAAGTGGAAGTTGGGTTAAACTTAGGCTGAATAATTGAAGTCTTGCGAGCTGGCACAGTTTCTGGGGTTGGTATGGTATCTCCTGTACCAAAACCCAAAACTTGTTGTACAGGGCGATTACTTGAAAAGTTGCTACCGTTTCCTGCTTGCCTGGCCATTTGATAATCACCGGAATCAAAAAATTTTTGCTAGAAAAAATAAAACCATTTTAACTAGATTTAAAATATATATTTTTTTTGTTTTATAAGTTTGCAGATTTTCAATATTAAAACATTACGTATGAAGCAAGTTTCAGTTGATCCAGATAAAAGTCATAAATTACTTAAAACATACATAATAACACCTTTCTTATTTTAAATTAACCAATACAATGGGTAGACCAATACAATAACTGATGGAAAATAATAGTCTTATGAAAAAACCAATAAATATAATTTACTCTCATAATTGTTTATGTATATAATCCTTTAGGGTTTACCTTAATACCTATACAAACATGAACAATATTTTACTTAGCCATCTTATCATCATAAGACTCAATTGCTTTTATCTCAAGAATTATTTGTATACTTTTAAGTTTTGTTAAACTATAAAATCCATACCCCTTTAGCTAAACGTTTTTGGAGAAGGGCAGAATGACCGCTAACTGGAGGCCAATTCGACTTCATTTGATATTGTTTTTTCATACACTCTTCTTGGGCTTTTTCAACATCTTTGGGATCCTATAACAATGATAAACGTTACATGTACAAGACGGTTTACACAAGAGTACAACAAATACACATGTAAAATGCAAATATTGATTAATATTTACCTTGGGCTTGTTAAACTCAGAACTCTCGGATGGTTTTTGATCGGCCATTTCTGAGAAAGAAAAAAAAACAGTGACGGATTATAATGCCCGAGCAGAGGATGGTATCTGACTATGTATTATCACTGTTTTGCCTAATAGCAGATAAGAAAAATGAGGGGGAAATGCGAAAACCCAAAAATGTGTAGGTCTAACCCACCAGCGGAACACGACCAAAACGGACGTGGAGGGGAGGAGCGGAGAAAGAGAACCTATAGAACCCTTAGAGAAGGCGACTCGGGATCGGGTACCGTACGGGCGGATACTCGAGCAGCGTGTTAAGACGAGAGAAATACAAAATCGAGAAGACGTTGGCATTGAACGCGATAAAATCGAGCAGAAGAACGTGGATCCGGAGGGGAGTAGAGAGAGGAAGTCGAACGAGAACGCATGACCTCGGGTACGTTCGCGTGCGTGAGGCGTCAGCCGGAAAAATTAAATAAATAACGGAAAGAATGCAAGAGCGAAAATGGGCGACGAATGGACACGTGTTGCAGCGGCGACGGGGGATGCTAGTCGAAATCCACAGGGCGCGCGAGATTTTACGTTACCTGATTATCGGTGTCGCGTTGCTGCGGCCGTCGATCAGCGGACGGATGGAACGGGGCGACCAACTCGGGGAACCGTGGACGACGGCGGACCGGAAAAGTACTCGAATTAGAGAAGTGCAAGAAGAACTGCGGAACACTACGCAGGACCGTCGGGAACGCGCGCTAGTACACGAATGGAACAAGGGGGACGCGGAAACGGTGAGCTCTGGGCCTGGGCCGCCGTTCTCGTCCGTCCAACTATTGTTTGCGAACCGTGTAGTACCGCGCCGTTGCAACTTGCAGCCGTCTCGAGTTGATGTCACGATTGCGTACCATCCTCCCCGCCACTATATCCCCCCGGTGCGTCCGTGTGACGGTGCGCGCGCGTCCGCCGAGCACAGACGTTGGTAAATCGTGACGACCGCTAGCGCTCCGCACGGAATCTCAACGAAACGGCTCGCGGAGATCCCGCCACCGGTAACTACGCGCGCAATCGAATTGGCCAACGGCCGCGATAATCTGCTTACTAACGGCTAGCCATTCGATTACGGTCGCGTGTGTACACCGCGACTTGATGTATTCGTTTCGCAAAACGCTCCGCGAAATCGACTACGTTTGGTTTCACACATTTTCTCGCGTGTTCCGCCATGAACACATGTTTTTCAAATTTCAACAACCGATGATTTTCCGTCTCCGGTCATCACGCACGCGCCCGCGTGAACGGGATTTTGGGGTTTTCTATTTCTAACTCACCGATCGAACAATTAATGCGATAAGGATTTTGAAAAATGAATTGGAATTCGTTGTCAAGTATCACTTCAGATCGACCGTCGCTCATTTTTCATTTTGTCTCTCAACATTTCATGAATTACAATCAAACGAATTGGAAACAAACAAATAAACAAAATTTTTAAAAAAAAATTGTGTAAAAGTCGATGTAGAAAAGACTACGGATGAATTCAAATATCCTTATCGCAACAATCTTTATGGTACGTTAGAAACAGAACGAGTTCCAACGTTGCACGGTGTTACAGGCAGAGACAGAAAATAATGACTTGAAATAATATTTATTCATTTTATCGACTGAAATACCAGATATTATCAGCTTATCGAAGTATTAATTAAGTTTTATTGCAGAAATCCTAAATGTTGACATGTATCAAGCCGAACCATTTGTTTCGTTGTTTTATCGGATTTACACGACGCGAATCAAGATTCGACATGTTTCACCCCGTCTGAACTTGCCTCGGGTAATAAGCGAGTCAAGTGAGGATGCCTCGTGGCAAGCAAAAGATTTGTCGGTATTTGGACGCGCGTCAAAGGAGATTCGCACAGTTATTTCGCGTCATGTGAACTGCTTCTTTGAGCGTCTTGCCTCGCCATGGATCAAAATCAATGTATTGTTGCAGCACATAAAATTGTGGTTCGCCCCAGTGCTCGAATTGAGGGGATGCGCAGGGGGACGGAGTTCCACTACTATTTTTTTTTTTTTTGCGTACCCCAACTATATTTTTTCACCGGAACGGGGGGACGCCACGTTCATCCTTATTGATATCCAAAATAATTTTTATGAGAATTTAAATTTACGTAAATTGGAAAATTAATTTTAATTTTAATTTTATTTTTAAATTATAAATTTATAATATCAAAATTATTTTTATAACTAAAGATTATATGGTGGTTATGATAAGAGACAACGTCGTCATTTCTGGAAAAATATAAATAGAAATGTCTGTGAATTTGGTGTATTATACTTTATACATTGTACGATTTGTTATTAATATTGGCGATCGACGATGTCGTCATTTCGGAAAAAATAAATGCCTTCACCACGACCTGGCGCGGTCCCGCTGTGGTGCAGGTACATTAAGTACACCACTATCGCGGAGCCACGCACGCTCTCTGCCCAGCCTCAACCAGTGCAACGACAACACCGTTTCCGATACTACCCACCTACCTAGGAAAACCTGGCAGAGATGAGAAAAGTTATCAGAACTGGTGACAACGTACCAACCGGTCGCCTCAAGTCACCAACCTTCTGCTCGTGACCGTCGGTGAACGAACATCGTACCAGTACGCTTCTTTTTCATTGTCTCTTCACCACCGTCACCAGAAGACCACCCATTGTTTATATCATTATTTTGTTTGGCAATAAAATTTTGACCACCATATTTTGTTTTGGTTTCGTGGTTTTTCTTTTTTATCTACACACCACCACTAAACCGTGAACGGCCACCTCACCGAGGGAAGAAAATCCACATCGACCTGAGGCCGTGTCAGACCTTAGACTAATCTTCTAAGGCCGTGGCCCGCACTAAAGAGTAAAAATAAATAAAAACAAAAACCAAAAATATGATTATATCATTCGATTCATGAGACTGCCTGATCGCCTACAATTACCTATATAAATTATTATTTTATTTTTATTTTCTATTGTAACATATAGGATGTTGGTATTGCTATCAAAATATATTATATTTGGAATTTAAATATAATAAATTTAGCTGAAAAGTGGTATTCAAAATATATTTCAGGTTGGTAGAGGGGGGAAGCCCCCCACGGTTCTGTGTCAAATATTTGCGCACATGGAGCGCAGTTTTCAAATCGTTGGACTGAGCTTATCTACTTAATTTTTCCCAATTCCAGCTCTGGTTCGCCCTGAATCACATTGATTCGCGCATAGATGTGTATCGTGTAAACATGTAGGTGAATCAGATGCCTCGCACATCAGATTCGCGTCGTATAAGCCCCGCTTTAGAATCTGAAAAATTTAAAAATGCATGTCTTAAATTGTAACTAATATGATTAATTTATTATTGCATTTTTTCAGCTGATGTATGTAATTTATCATTCTTTCAATATAATATGTCAATTAAGTACCTACCCAATAAATCTTATATACGTACATATTTTTTGACGTGAACACAGGCTAGAAAATATCAGGATATATTAAAAATATATTTCCTGACCATCACATTTAATAATTATTTCGGTTTCAAAGGACTTTATATTGTAAATTCATGTATATTATAAGTAGGTAGTTTAGTCGTTTTCACGAGAATAGTTTTAATTTGGAATATTAAATCACACATGGGATATTATTCACACTTAAAAATATGCCATACAGATGTTTATTTTAGTTATGGAAATTTACAATAATTTACATCATTCCTTAAGTAGGTATGTTTAAAATTTAATAACTAAGGTACCTACTTATTTATTATTTTTATTATTATTGAACTCGTATTTATTTTGTTTTGATGTAATTTCAAAATTTACATTTCATTATCTTAGATAAATTATAGAAAAATTTCTGTTTTTCACAAAACTATAGAAAAAATAAAAATGCCATATAAACAATTGTAAGTTCATGGCCTATGGTTCGGGGCTTATGGGACTGCATCACCTCTACTCAGAGACTTGTTTAAGAAAATACATTATAGTTAAGAGAACTTAAAGAAATGTGTTTAGTTATCATGCGAGACAAACTTAACATTATTCATAAACATTTATATTCTTAATACTATACACAACCATATTGGAAACTATATTTTACTACTAATCTTGATCGCCGTATTTAAAATATAATGATTTATATTTATACTTTCAGATAAATCCATATTTTATTGTATATTTTACTTTTTTAAATTCAAGAATTTCACTTGCGAGAGGGGACAGTTGGTCTTCCAGAAAAAGATTGAGGGGGGCAAATTTATCATTTTGGGATTTTTTTTTTAATATAATACCGCACATATGTTTAACACTCCAAATAAATGAATTGGAGTATTACATCAGCTATTAAAAGGTTTAAAACGTGTGCATAACACAAAAATTTAATAAATCACCACCAACTTATTTATTTAATCACGAAATAAATCCGTTATATTGCCTTTGCATATTTGCTGCTCCGTCAGTTGAAGTACCAATACATTTTAAAACGTTAATTTTTAAAATTTTCAAACCTTTGCAAACATAATTTGATAAAAGTTTTCCTTTGTTAGAATCACAGTTAATCAACAAAATCAGACGTTCATGAATTTTATTTTCTATGACATAATAAATAACGACAGAACATTGATCATGTACATTTATTTCTTGAGTAGTGTCAATTTGTAAAGAAAAAAATTCGGTTTCCAATATTTCTTGACTAATTTTATTTTTAATCAGTCCTGAAATAATTTGTAGATTATTATTGACCGTTGTTTTAAATATAAATATTTCCCAATTACCTCTTCCTTTACTAATTATACCAACACCTGCGTTTTCAACCCGGGATCTTCTATGTCAGGCGCGTACCAAAGGAGGAGGGGATTTCGGGTCCGTACCCCTCCTCCCCAATTGAAATTTCAACGTTTACATATTTTTAAATAGATTAATAAATTAGAAATAAATTAATATTTTTAAATTTTTTAAGTACTTTATAACTCAGCAATAAATTCAAACACAATCAGTTTGCTTCTGTTCGACAACGATTTTGAATGTCAAGTCATCGACTTATTTTTGTTTGAATAATAATTGTATCTAAAACCATCACTAAAAAAATAGAAATAGCTATGTTAAAATAAATAAATAAAATAGATAGGTGTGAAATTATAGTCTATAGTAATTTTGAAATAACTAAGCACTTACCAGCATTCTAGTTATAACATATATAAAATTTGTATACCTTTTTTATATACGTACCTTAATAAGTTACATAATTTTTATTTATGCTTTAATTTATTTTTGATTTATGATGTTTAACTTCAGAAATTATTCAAAAAAATATTTTAACCCACGTTTTTATTATTGTATGTTAAAATGTATTTGGCATTTACTTATTTCAAAATTAATAGTAATAGTAATATTAATAATAAATTAATATTTTACACGTTAATTTATACTTGTATTGTTTAATTATCATTTAAATTCTTATTCAATATAAAAATATTTTGGGGGTGGAAATCCCTCCCGTTGAAGACCACCGAACTAGAGCTTTAGTAAAGGTGTTCCAGTCTGCTTTTTGAAAGTGTTATATCTTCTCAAAAATGGAGTGTCACATGGTTTGATTGCTGCCGTAACTTTGCACAGTATGGGTCGGTGCTGCGTGCGTAGTATGGGTCTTCCAATTTCCTTTGTACATTGTGGAGCTATCGTATCGCTTACAAATATTATGTCAGAATTATAGCCCTTTTTCCATCTACCACTGTTGAATGATGGTGGCAGTTTTGGGTCATGGATTAATGTTAACCTATTGGACTCTGTCTAAACCTCGATTTGATCGCCAATGCTATCTATTTCGTCGTAGCCTCAGTTGGTATGGTGGATATTAAAATCTCCTATGACAATGTGTATATTTTTAGTATTAAAATTAACTGGTTTCT